CAAGAACCCAAAGGCTGAAGAAAAGGTGCACACCGAGCGGTAACCTTTGAAATAAAGCGCGTTAAGGCTGTGACACGCCCTGTGAGGCTTGGGATGTCTTTTTGTGTCTTCGACCTTTCCATATCTATAAGAGCTTTGATTTTTTTCAGGGTTTGCTTCAATTCCTCGTTGGCTTATCATGAAGTGAGGGAATTTTCTGGAAGATACACCGAAGGCGCACTTCGTTGGGTTTAGTCTCATTCGATACTTTTTCAAGATGTCAAACATGAGGGATAAGTTGTGGAGGTTTTGGCCAGCAGTCTAACTCTTTACCAACATGTTTTTCACATAGACTTCCATGGTGTTGTCGATATGCTCAGCGAGGATTCGGTTGACTAGTCGTTGATATGTTGCTCCAGCATTTTTTTTAGGCCAAACGGCATGACGTTGTAGCAATACAAACCAATCTAAGACATTGTTGTTGTGTTCCTGCATTTTCGCCATGTCTTGTCGTAATGTTGCGATTTGAACCAGAAGCTCAGCTTCAGCAGTGGTTTGAAGAATCGGATCCTCGATCGGCGTGCGCAGCGGGCATTGCTGGGCTCACCCCACTCTTCTTTTCCGAACAATGACTGTTAAGCTCATAATTTCATATATATATATATATATATATATATATATATATATACATGCCCTATTTATTTAGTCCTTTTGCTTAGTTTTTTGGAATTCTAAGTCATTTACCTCTCTTTGTGTGTTTTCTAGGTCAATAGAGCAAGAGAGCATAATTCATGCAATTGAAGCTTGGTAAGGGCTAATTTGGATGAATGGTTGGAAAGATGACATGTGGTTGGAAAGATGACATTCGGAACTTCAACATAGAGGGCTCAAAGTCGTCATGTGCTTAAGGGAAGCCCAATTCTTGAGCCCATGAAGTTGAGGGTCATGCTGACCTAAGAATGAGCTAAGTGTGCTTGATCATTCTGACCTAAGTATGAGGTGTTATTGATGGTGGGGAAGTTAGGTGAGCTGATTCAAGTGGAGATTTCCAGCAACTACAAGAAGTAAAGAAGATGAAGTGGGTGTTGTTGGTGAACTAATTTTCAATTGCATTGGTGTGTTAGGTGAAGTAGGTGTGCTTGGTGGACTCAATTGTGTAATCTGATTTAACCTAACTCTTGTGCCTATAAATAGAGAGTCAGTTGAAGGGGGGAGCATATTCATTCATATTCCATCACATTGTACATAAGAAAGTCACAAATGGAGAAAAGAGAGAAGGCACTAGTTGGGAAGCTTTGGCCTCCTGGCAGCCATGGAGATGAAGCTTTTCCATTTCTAGCATGTTGTCCCTATCTTTTTCTCCTCCCCTTGCCTTTTATTTTCTTCTTGTATTTCCTTAAATTTACTTTGTCTTTCTATTTAATAAACATATTGTAATTTTGTGTTATTGTTATGAACATGATGATTTTAAGTTTTCAAGTTTGATTAGTTTCCAAGTTTCAATTACGGTTCTTGTTCTTATTATTATGCTTATAAGTTAATATGCTTGTTTGAATGTTTGATCACCATTTAAACTTGTATGTTAGCTATCTTGGTTGGAATTAAGAGTAGACACCATATGCCTTAATTCGAATTGAACTATGAATAGGAAGAGTATGTATGGACATTCAACAACAAGGATTAGTTACATGCTTGGTTGTTTAAATCGTTCTCCTATGCTTAATGGATTTCTAATGCTTAATTTAGGTTCAACAACAACGATCTAATTTGGGAATTACGAATACAAATTTTAGACCAAACACCATGGCTAGATTATACATTAGAGAGTGTAGGGGCTTTTTCCTTCCGGCAGCAAGTGGGCTGGACTGAAGAAGTTGTCCCCTCTGTTTTGAGTTCGAAATTAAGCCCCAAAATGCTTCGAAAGGGCAGCAAGGCCTTAGGAAGTATTTTGGTTATCTTTTCCAACAAAAGCAACAGAAAGTTACAGATAATTTCTTCACATTCACAGATAAATTTTTTGGGCTTGGCATGAGAGGCATGTGGCATGAGAGCAAAGTTATCATGGGTTTAGCACTTTTGGAAAGAGAAAGTTTGTGGGTTCCTATGGAGGTCAGAGGTTCTAATGGAAGAGAGGAGAGGTTCTAAGGAGGAGAGTTTTGGGTAATTTTCGTAGCTTCCGGCAGCTGGACAGTGACTCCGTCCAAACTGTAGCGATCTGCCAAAGCAGGGGAGATGGGGGAAATGGGTTAGCAAAGCACGAAAATTTGCTGGGTTTGCAAGAGAGAAAGCTTGCTCTCTGAAGGCTGTGGGTTGTATTGTGTTTTGGCTGGGTAGAAAAGGCCCTATTTATAGTTGCTGGGGTTTGTTCTTCTCCAAGAAACCCTAATGGTTTCTTCCCAACTTAGCTAAGTTTTCCTCTTCCTTTCTTCTTCTCCTTCTTGACTTATCTCATGGTGGCAAAGCCAGCTCTGCCCTATCCCACAAAATCAGAGATTTTGGGTGCTCCAAGTTTCTTCCAGCGGCTGCCTCAGAGAGGAGCTCCCCTTTTTCACTCATCTTCTTTCTCAACTTTCTTCCCCTTTCCATGGCCAAACCTGAGGAAGGAAAGAACGTGGATGTGTCTGCTGGTTTAAGAGATGGTGTCCTCCCTTGCGTGCCAAAATCCCTTGGTTTCTTGAATTCTTGCATTTGGAACTTGTTCCCAGCAGCCACTCACATGGAGCTTTCCAACGTTCTTTGGTGGTTTTGCCTCCAAACTGAGTGCCAGGGCTTGAGCTGGTTTTTATCCTAATTATGTTGGCTTTTGGGACAACCATAAGATCTATCCAATGGATGGGATAGCTTTGTCAAGTGTTGGGCTTATTTTGGCTAGTTTGTTCTAATTGGGTCAATGGGCTTACTTTGGCTAGTTTATTGGATTAATGGGCTATTTTGGTTGAGGCAATGGTCCCTCTCCTTTCTTGTGCTTACCCATGTTTGGCCCGAAGAAAATGGGCTTGAGTCTCAAGGCCCCCAAGCGACCCGAGACTTCCATTTCTTGGCCCATCGATGGGCCCCATGATAACTTGTTACCATCCATACCACAACCCACTCAAGCAAGCCCCGGGCATTTGAGTGGCTTGGGCCCACTTAAGCTTGCAGTGCAATTGGGTGTGAAATAACGATTTCCCACTTGGCATGGCACGTTGCTTGGCATGCTTTCAATTATGACGCTTGATAAGATAATTTAGCATGGATTTAAATGCTTTTTATAATTTTAGTCTCAGTTTCTAGCATGATGGATTTTTATTTGGCATGGCATGCGAAGTATAACTCGTGCATGGCAGATTTTCGTGTGCTCCGAATTGAGTCTTTTCTCGATAATATATCATTTTTGGGCCATGAATTCATTCGGGCCCAACCATGAATTTTTTGGGCCTCAATAGAGAGAATCAATCTTTTTACTTGAATTGAACTTGTTAACTTGATTGCTTGAGACTTAGAATTAGATTGTTCCCTAGTGTCCTAAAACTGTTTTTAAACCCAAAACCAATTTTAGTGTCTTTCTTCTTTGTTTGTTTAACTTTCTTTTTTCATTTCATGTACTCTTCTCAATCACCTTTAAATCTTGTTTCTATTTCTATTTTGTGTAGGGAATCGAATTGAATCAATCTATTATCAATCCTTGTGGGATCAACCTCGCACTTACATATGCTATACTACTGAACGGCTCGTGCACTTGCGAGTATCACAAGTTGAGGATGTAGCTGAATCAATTTTAATCTAACACAACAGTGACCCCTCTGTCGATAGGAACAACAGGACTGAGGAAGTTCCCATCTTGGTCAATAAGACCTTTGGCACCGGTGTGATACTGGGCGAAGGCTTTCTGATTCTTAAATCAAAATAAATACAGAGTAAATAGTGATATGGACAGAGTAATGGCTGAATTGCCGAATGTCGTAGTTACCTTGTTTTGGGGACCTGTGCCCTTATTTATAGACTCTAGGAGATGTGCATCTAGAGTAGAATTTCAATGTGGGACTGTGGGCATTACCTGAGGAGGTGCCATGTGTACCTATGAGGAATTCTTAATGAAGTGCTTCTTTTGCTACGATCTACAGTCTAGGGTACCGAAGGCTCACATTCTGCCGATGGTGCCTTGAGAAGCGCAAATGATTACCGGTTTTAGCTGGTCCTCTTGTGGGTCCCTTATTTTGCATGTCGTCTTCTGATTAACCAAGTTAGATATGGTATAAACATTTGTTTAATGTGCAGTCTCAATTTAAGCACAAATGATTACCGGTTTTAGCTGGTCCTCTTGTGGGTCCCTTATTTTGCATGTCGTCTTTTGATTAACCAAGTTAGATATGGTATAAACATTTGTTTAATGTGCAGTCTCAATTTTACGCACACCATTTATGCATTTCTATAGGTCTCATTATTTACAACAATTTTATTTGAACAGGTTCAGCCTCTGGCTGGCAATGGGTCGTGTCGTATTAAGATTATATACGTGTCAGGAATGCTCAACCCAAACCCGACCCGTTTAATAAACGTGTCATACATAGGTTGACCCGTTAAGTTCTCTTGCGGGTTTTGAGTCGTGTCGAGTTGACCCACTAAATGGTAGCAACGAAAGACATTTAAAAAAAATTAGAAAAATGAAGAATAAACAAATAAATGGGTTAGTTGGTTGATGTGTTACACGAGTATTTTAGCGGGCTGGTGGGTTACATAGGTATTTTAGCGGGTTGGTGAGTTGACCCGCTATGGCCCGTTTTGTTAAACGTGTTATATGGGTATTTTAGCGGGTTGACAGGTTGATTCAAAACCCACCCGTTTATTAAACGGGTCATGATAGGTTGACCCGAAAATGACCCGAATTTTAATTATGCGGGTTTCAAGTTGTGTAACGGGTCGTGCCCAAAATTGCCACCCCTAGTTCAACCTATAAGAAGATTCACTGGGGATTTAGAGACATTTGAAATAATGTAGACCCAATGAATTTATCCTCACAAACGTATTGTGCTCCGGTGAAATAGATTTACAGTGAGTAGTCAAAAAATAAATTCTAAAACCGGACCCAGCATCGTGTGCATTGTGCCATACAATCTCCCTTGCAATCAACATTGAAACCCAATACTCTTGGATTTCGAAGGAGGAGGTTACGCAGAGATTTCCCTTTTATACCCCATTCCTTCTCCAAGACCTGCACATTGGTTTTCAACTCATGTTCAAGATTACATCCAAGAACCTCCGGAAATTTTTTGAGCACCTTACATAGGTCATCGTCAGAGAGGCTTAAGCTCCGAAGGTAGTCCAGTTTTTCTTTTACAATCTCAATAGTTGGTACCTCCTTTTTCCGTATTTCACCCCAGTAAGGTGAATGAACCAGGCCAAATGCTTTTCCAAGTATCTTGTCTCCCTCTTCAATAGTGATACTAAATGCAGATATAGCTTCCTGGCATGCTTCCCATGTCTTCCTCTCTTCATCAGTCAAAGCTGTATTTTCAATTTCTGCAGTTGAATGTAACACCCATTTTTTGGGAGAGAAACTTGGTGAGTATGCCCGTTTGTTCAGATTTTGTGAAACATTTGGCAATCTGATATTTGGTGCAGCATTTATAACATCAGGCTGCAAGAAGAATTATCAGAATATTCTGTCAAATTTCAAAGGCAGAATGGAAACGCTAAAATTAGAAGTGATGCAAATGTTTGGAGACTAAAAGCAAAAAATTTTGAAGTCTGGAATACAACAAACAATAATGGCGAGAGTAGCGTAGAAACAGTTACAATGTGAATTCATATCCATCAGCAAACAGGTATATACACATCTGCAATTTGTTCTGCCATAATTTTGTTCACATGGCACTGATATCTGCAATTTATTATATGAATGCCATGAAATCTTTTGGGCTTATTTCTCAGAGTAGTTTTAGGGGGGTGTATTCAATTGAGATTTTAATAGATAGTAATTACATGATTTTAATGTAATAGATTATTATTTCTTTATAAGCAAAATGCTTTTAGTTACCCAATCAATTTTTTTGTTTCTTGGTGATATTTATTAACAATTTTGTATTTCTTTTTAAATTCTTGGAATTACAAAACACTTCCTTTATAAACGGGTTAAGAAATGAAAGCTGTTTCTTGGGAGAAAAAAAAAAAATGATTTAAACCATGGAATCAGGTAGAAGGGCTTTAAAGAAGTCGAAGCTAGGATTTCAGTTTAGAGAAAGGACTCAGAGAACCAGAGGCTCAAACAATTCTTAGATTCATATAAATAATTCTTTGATACAAAAGGAGAGGCAGTGTAAGCCTTTATATACAGTTGCTAACAACATGAAGTCCACTTCCTTCCCACCTTTGCCCTTATAACCCAGAAAACTACAAACCACACTAAAAAAACTCAAGCCTGCATCCCGGAACAAGTACCACAATTTGAAAGCAATAAAGCAGTGAATGAAAGGACGATCAGCTGCCTCTTTGCATGTGGTATACTAATAAGGGGATAAGCTAAAATTAGGACCTTTAGAATAAGACATATCATAGATTAATCGACTACATAAGACTTGCACGAAAAAACTGCAAAAGCGTTAAATTTGCCAAGTGAACCTAAATTTGGTGCTTGTGTATTGACAAGACTAACAAGTTCTTAACTTAGTTGTACTTCTCTTCATAATGGTTGAAGATTATATAAGTTTAAGACGTGTTTCTCTTTTTGGCACAAAACATAAACTAAGGGATGAATTAAAATTCATGTACTGAATTGGGACACATTTAAGTCATCATCTCACACTTTTTGGCACATAATGGCCTGTGCTCCCTCCCTCCCTCCCTCTCTTCTATCTTGTTTTTCTTAAAGGGAACTAATTTTCCCACTCCTCTTTTGTCCACTTACACTCCCTTTGTTGGAAATTGTATGTTCCCACTCCTCTTTTGTCCGCTTACACTCACTTTTTTGTTATAGTAAAAAGTATTAAAAAAACAAAATGGAGTTTAAGTGGACAAAAGTGGAGTGGGAAAATCAGCACCCTTTTTAAATTACGCGATAAATTAAAATAATAAAATCTGACACACAAAACCTTTTTAATCTAATAAGCAATGTTGAAACTCAAAGATCGATCACTTCCTTCACACTCTACCCCAACCAAAACACAACTCTAATGATTTCAGCTCTTTTTGGTGCTTTTTCTTTTTCTTTTTAATATTCACAGAAAACCATAAAATAAATATTTTTTAAAAAGGAAAGGAAAAGAAAGGAAAGAAAATCATTACTAGAAGTCTGGACGCTAGAGTCTAGAGTGAGAGGAGTGAAATTAAATTAGAATGCAAGAATGGCTCAGCACAGGTAGCCAGGGATGGAGAGGTTGGGACTATGTGGCCACGATCTCCACCATCCCTCCCTTCCCCTTATAACCCAGAAAACTAAAACACACACTAAAATTCCACAAATCTTTGGTCTTTTCCTTCCAACAAAACGATAATGTTGCCAATAAATAAAGATCCACAGGAAGATGTTATCACTAAACTCAACCTTGCTTCCCAAAACAAATAACACAATTTCAAAGCAATAAAACAGTGAAGGAAACCCTTCGCACGTGGTATACCAATGAGGTGATAAGCTAAAATTAGGACCTTCAGAATGAGACAGATCATAGATTAATTAGCTACATAAGACTTGCATGCGAACTGCTATAGCACTAAATTTGCCAATACCTACATAATCTCAATGGACGTAACATGACATTTTCAATCAAAGAGCATTGAGTAAAAAAACCAACCAACAACACAATCATTCACGTTTGTATGTAAAGTGAGCTTTCAACCCACTGGAAAAGAAGAGGGGACCCAAAAACCGAGCTATGACAACCTAACATCAAGTAAAAGAGCAGAGGGGACCAGAAACCTAGCCATGACAAGTGGAAAAATCACAATTTCAAAATCATTCAAGTTTTTAAGCTGATTTCAACATATAGCATCAATAATCAATGGTGTTATAACAAACAAGAGTCATGGCAATTTAAGATTTCGATATTTCCTTGAAATAGTACTTACAGTGGAAAAGCAAAAGCGTGTTGCACAATCATGAGTTAGCAATGGAGAAGCTAAAGATTTTCCTAGCATCCCTGAACTGTCAATAGAAAATTAGAACAAGAGTCAAATGAAAAGTCAATAAAGTCAAACAAACAAAACAGCTGACAGATGGTCAGTAATAACTATATGAAGACTGAAAATGAAACCAAACACCAAAACAAAAAACAAAACCAAAAAACGGAACAGAGATAACGAGAATTCAATTGATGTCCTTATATGAAACTATGTATTCAGTAGACTAAACCATCATATCCATATAGTAAAGAGAAGCAGATTGAACAGAATGATTTTCACTATATTAGAAAAGAGATGACAAGAGTATAAATACAAGAGAGGTAGGGCTACCTCCACAGCTCTCAATAACAAACTCTCATAACTGAAGCTAACAAACTTAGAAACAGAAGCTGAATTTAACCGTGGATCTTTGTCATTATAACACAGATCATCATCTCTGGTTTTATATAACATAGCACCTAAGAATTTATATCCTGCCAAAAAATGAACCTATAATCTTTCCCAGTAATAGCAAACACATCATGGTATTATTATCAATGTGCATACACCAAAATATTAATCAACCTTTTCCCAAATACATTGACACTCAATTAGTATTTTCCCATAATCTCAAAAGTACTAAATTTTTTCTGAAGAACATGCACAAACCCGAAAGTAAATGGTGGTTGCTCAATCCAACTAAGCATCTGTCCAGGAAATAATATTCAAAAAACGGGTTCAACTATATTAGTATTTTTCTTTCTATATTTCTTCCAAACTAGTTGAAACCTTAACTGAATGATTTTCCTGCTATCTCAAAAAATATTTCCCTTGCTACAATGTCCATATTATTTCTGCCCTCTTACCCCTTTTGGCTCAATTAAGTCAGCAAACACAAAACAGAACAAGATCCACCAGCAGTCCAAAGTTCCAAACCTTCATCTAAAATTTGGGAAACCACTGATTTAATTTCTTTCTTACAAAACAGTACAATCATTGAGCAATAATGAATTAAGAAAATGGATATTCAGAATCACAAAACAGCAGGAAACAACGCAGGCAATTTCATTTTGATTTTTTCGGCTAGCAATAAAAAATGGGAGGGAGAAGATTGGGAAGAACAAAAAATACCCGAGAGTAGTAGGAAGACGGTGTTAACCTGGTCACCAGCTTCAAAGGGCGATTGCGAATGTGCGAAGGAAGAGAGAGAGAGTGAGAGAGAGTGGCAGGAGAGAAGGTGGGTTCCACTCCAAATACGCGCGCCACAGATTTTGGGGGAGCGATCAGGTGGTCAACTCCCTCCGATTTTTCTTCAGTCCTGATGTTTGTCTTAATCTCTACTATTATAAAGCCTTGCCAAAGTGGTTGGGGTCACTGGCTCAAACCAAGAAAATCAGCACCCTGATATAAAAGTTCACATGGGTATTTTAGTAAACAGATAAAACAAAAAGAAATTATCTATAGTGTGCTGAAACTTTTTTTTTTTTTTTTAATAGAGATCTAATAGGGTTTAGGTGCATGTGTTAAGTTACTCCAAAAATTTTTTTGCATGCGTTAATGCTTCTTTTTTTTTTTGGTCGAGATGCATGTGTTAACACCGAAAATTCTATAGTGCGCATGGTGTATCCATGTGCCCCTATTATGAATCATTGGATGAGTGAGTGGGGATGTGGGTTAAATCCACACCGTTGAATGGTGGTAACCGAATAAAATGGTTGTTGTAGGTAAAAGAGAACAAAAGAAAAATTAAACAAAAAAAGAAAAATAGAACAACAAAAGAAATATAGAACGATACAAAGAAGGGCAAAGAAGATCTTGAACTAAGGCAATCCCACCGACTCTCTCTGTCATCTCTCCCTCTCTTCCCCTGCAACTTAGAGGAGATGCGTACTGAGGGGATATTTACTGTTCTTGAGGCTGATCATATTGGCATCTTGAGGTCTGCATTAATTTCTGCTTAGTTGCTTCCTGGGCTTAGCCCCCATTTTTACAACAAAAAAAAACTTGCTGAAGCCAACGACTACTCTGTCATCAAAGTCACTGTGAGTACAAAACATTCCATTTTATTTTTGGGGTTAATGGGTTTTTGTTTTGCTAAAAAGAAAACCATTGTAATTTGAGTTTTTTCACAAACAAGAAACACAATATGATTAATGTCAATATCTTTCTCTTCTTTCATGTGGGGCATATTGTTGATGTTGAAAAGTTCGTGATATCTTACATTGAGTTCATCTTTATTGTAATGATATAATGATATCTTACATTGAGTTCATCTTCAACTCATGCAATTACCAAATCGTAAGGGGGTTTTTGCAATTTGTGTACATACCTGGCATGCAATTGGGAAGCCTTTTTATTTTCAGAATGCAATTACCAATTGATTAGTCTGTTATTACAATTACTTGTAATGCAAATGCCATGATATTTGTAGCCTTGCATTTTGGTAATGGAAATGCAAGAGGTAATTCAATATGTCATTTTGAATCCAATTACGAATTGATTAGTCTGATTTTGCAATTAGTGTATCCATATTGCCATGTTATTGGTAGCCTCTTCAATTTTGAGAACATATGTGATTTGTCAATGCAATTGACAAACAATTACTTCTAATTGCATTATAGTCTTGCAATTGACAAAACAAAGCAGTCTCTTTACATTCTTGTCGTGCAATTGCCATTATATGTGCACAATTATGAAACGTAGAATCTCTCATTAATGACTAATCCTTCATAATTTAATTGTATGTTTATACCTCTACTAAATGCAATTGATGTGTATCCATTTATTTTCATATTAATTATACCATGAAAGACATGTTGCCTATTTTCAGGAAATGGATGTAGAAGCAAGAAAAAAGAATGAAATTCAGGGCCGAAACTCCGTACCTAACAGTGAATGTTATTTTGCGGAGGTTGAGTCACTTGAAGAAACTGAAAATGTCCCATCTTTACAGTTTTTGGACGGCAGAATAGAAGAAATTACTGAGATTAGCGGACACTTTGAGTATGATGGGTTAAACTTCCAAAATATGAGCATTGTTGATTTAGAGGGGAGGGAGTTTGCAAAATTTGAGGAAGCAAAAAGATTTTACTGGAACTATGCTCTTGCAATTGGTTTTAACATAAGAAGAAGTTGTTTGAGACATAGCGAGGGTGGGGTTGTGATGGGAAGACAATGGGTGTGCTCAAAAGAAGGGAGTAGATCAAAGAAATGGACGAATAGAGAGGATATGGTTCGTATACCAAGGAAAGAGACTAGAGAGCATTGTCAAGCTACATTTGTTGTGAAGTATTGCCCTAAACGGGATGCTTATATTGTGAATAAATTTGTAAAGGAGCACAGCCACTAGCTTGCTAACTCGCATGAGGTTTGCTAACTCACTTGAGGTGCCTTTTCTTCGTTTCAATATACAACTATATGGTTGTCCAAGCAGGTGGATACATGAAAGTGGGGTTCACTAGTAAGGATTTATATAACAGGATGGATTTCGAGCGTCGACAAGTGGTATTAGATGGTGATGCACAAGCAGCAATAAACTACATGAATGCCAAGGCAATAGTGGACCCGGAATTTTTTTGCATGTTTAGTGTAGATGAGGAGAATAGATTGGCAAATTGGTTTTGGAGAGACTCTCAATCTCTACACGATTATTGTTGCTTTGGGGATGTGTTGATATTTGATAGCACGTACAAGACCAACGTATATAACAAGTAAAAACAATGGATTTTAGTGCACCTCACCATTCTAATCACACAAAACCTAAGGAAAATATTATTTTACTTTATATTTAAATATTAACATAAAAAAGACTAAATCTCATAATGTAAAACCCAAGTATTGTAATTTACAAATGTAAGGATATCGTTTACAAATTTTTGGAATGCCTATGTCCATAATAGTGTAATGTTGGTCCTTACTGTTGTAAATATTTGTTCTTACAAGGACAAGGACACAATTTACTCCTCCAAGAAGAATGACCCAATTTACTCCTCCAAGGTTCATTCTTACCTTAACATTGTATTGGGGATAATTTCCTTCGTAAATTATGCTATTACAGGTGTAAGGATCCCTTTTATAAATTTATGGAACCCCTATGTCCATAAGAATATAATGGAAGTCCTATATGTTGTAAACCTTCCGTTTTTACAAGGGTAAGGACCAATTTTAGTCCACCAAGGTCCATGCTTACCCTATTCTTATACAAGGGTTCCTTGTTGTTGTAAATTATGGTATTACGAGATTAAGGATGGCTTTTACAATGTAATGAAACAAGTATGTCCATTTTAGTATAATATGAATACTTAATGTTGTAACCATTATCCTTGTTTACAAGGATAATGACTCAATTTAATCCTCCAAGGTTCATTCTTACCTTAACATTGTATTGGGGGTCATTTCCTTTGTAAATTACGCTATTACAGGTGTAAGGATCCCTTTTATAAGTTTATGGAACCCCTATGTCCATAAGAATATAACGGAAGTCCTATATGTTGTAAACCTTCCGTTTTTATAAGGGTAAGGACCTATTTTAGTCCACCAAGGTCCACACTTACCCTATTCTTATACAAGGGTTCCTTGTTGTTGTAAATTATGGTATTACGAGATTAAGGATGACTTTTACAATATAATGGAACGAGTATGTCCATTTTAGTATAATATGAATACTTAATATTGTAACCATTATCCTTGTTTACAAGGATAATGACTCAATTTACTCCTCCACAGTTCATTCTTACCTTAACATTGTATTAGGGGTAATTTCCTTTGTAAATTATGCTATTACAGGTGTAAGGATCCCTTTTATAAATTTATGGAACCCCTATGTCCATAAGAATATAATAGAAGTCTTATATGTTGTAAACCCTCTGTGTTTACACGGGTTGAAATTGAATGGATCGTTGGGGTGAACCATATGGACCTGGATCAATAAGTTTGTCTTCTTTCTTAGAGCCTCCTATGAGACAACACGTACCTATAACACTCTCTGACTGGTGGAAGCTTTCATCATATTTAAAAAAATATTGTGGAAATCTATTCAGGTATGATATTAAAAGATTGCATTTTTTTAGAGATATGTCTTATATGGAATATACTAACTTATTTGTTTAGACCTCAATATTCATGTGGTCAACGTCTGAAATACAAGTTTTTATTACTTGGAAATAAAGAGGAGATTTGGTTCCTTGACTATATGGTGCTTATATCGGAATAATGACAAGAACGGGAGTAATCCCTCAAGTATTTTGTAAGTTTACTCTATTGCGCTTTTTGAGCTGTCCCCCTCTTACATGAACGGTAAGCTTTATTTATAGGAAGTTTTTACAAGATAATTTCAAGCCGGTCACCTTGGCTTGGAGCCGAGCCGTTTATGTCACATCAGGCCATCCTATCGGATGGTGAATGGTCGAGGTTTGTCCACGTCCTCTTCCCATGATGGCGTCCCTCGTTTTGCTAGGAGGCGAGCGTGAGTATAGTAGCCTGTCACGAGCGGTCAGAGTCCCATCTAGTCAGACGGAGGTTTAGGAGGCTTACGTGTGGCCTCGGAAAGGACAGGAGCGCTATCTCGAGAAGCGGTGAATTCTTCATTGTCAAGGGAGGTCTTGTCATCGATGTGGCTGATCAGTAGCCTTTCATGTTTCCCAAGATGGTATCGAGGCCGAGGTGGTGAGGTTGGAACTGAACCGACGTGCGTGGCTACCAGTTGAGGGGTCTAGATGGTCATTTTTGCCAAGTGGCTAGCGAGGTCCACATGTTCTGTTTTTATTAGACAGACGGGCTCGGTGTATACTAAACGTCAACATTATTGTTAATCAATTGTAGGCAAGATACAAGGTAGACCATGAATCCTTTTAGGTCCTCAAAATCAAATTTGTTTCGCCAGATAATTGAGGCACCAAATGAAGAAGAAAGGCTTAAACTGCGTCTTGGTAACATAAAAAATGATCAAGCATGGAAGACGTTTGTAAGGCAAAAAAAAAAAGTGCAAATATTAGGGTAAACAAAATTTGATCAATTTATTTTTTCACATGCTTTCATCATAATTTTAGTTGATTTGAGCAACTATATTCACTATATTAGTTCATAAGTTGATTAGTAGTGTTGCTGATGCATTATTCTAGGCTAAAAGTGCAAAATACTTAGTAATGAGGCATAAAAAAATCCCACACACATGCAGTCGGAAGGGAATTGTTCGATTGGCTGCTGAGATGGTAAATATAATATTAGACTCTTTGTTTTATTAGTTCATTCAATAGTATATCAATTTGATATATATATATATAAATTTATCTTTACTGTAGAGAAAGAAAAGCACAAACCCATCTTCAATTTCTAGGGTTAAAGTGTGGATTAAATCTAGCACAAGAAAAGAT